TCGTAACTGTTTAGGCGTTTTCATAAAACGCATGTCGGCGCGAGAGAAGCGCATCTTCGATCGCGGCGAGAAACCATCACATGTTTTGACGACGCGCGGGGAACGGTATGTTTTAGCATCACCGCGCTCGATCGCGCGGACGGGCGCCAACCAACCCGACATGTGGGCGGGGAGTTATGGGCGGGAACTTGTGGGCGCGAACCCATGCAGGAACTTGCCTCCTGCTCCCCCGTCCACGCGCCCCCCTCACACGGATCGTGCCCCTGGCACCATCACACGGATCGTGGAGTCTGGACATGCAGGGCCGAAGGCCTATGGATATTGCACCCCTCACGCAGATCGTTGGGTCTCAGACCCAACGATCAGGGACGTGCAGGGCCGAGAGCCTATGTATTGGGCCGCCAGTATACATCCACATGGCGCATAGGCGCATGCCCAGTGGCACGCAGAGCCCCAAGACGGGCCCAAGAAAAACGGGATCCGCGAACGAGGGGTTGGGGCGGGCAGTCACGACCCTTCCCCCCCCCAGCACTTGGCGTTGGAGGGGAGGGGGCCGTGACCTTCGCCCCCGCCCGTGGGAGCCCCCATTCGCGGACCCAGGGAACGGCAAGGCGGAAACCTGGGCTATAGGCGTCCCAAGATGCCCAGTAGGCCCCAAGATGCCCATAAGGTCCCCAAGACGCCCATATATGGGCCCCGAGAAAAGCGGGATCCGCGAAGGAGGGGTTGGGACGGGCAGTCACGACCCTTCCCCCCCCCAGCACTTGGCGTTGGAGGGGAGGGGGTCGTGACCTTCGCCCCCGCCCGTGGGAGCCCCCATTTGCGGACCCAGGGAGCGGCAAGGCGGAAGCCTGGGCTACCCAAGATGCCCATGGCAAGCGAACCCCAAACGCCCCAAGATGCCCTATAGACGGGCCCGAAACGCCCCAAGGGCCCCATGATGCCCTATAGACGGGCCCCAAACGCCCCAAGACGCCCAAATATGGGCCCCAAGACGCCCTATATACGGGCCCCAAGACGGCCATATAAGAGCCCCAAAGGCTCCACGACGATCCATCTTGGCGCACCCCTCACACAGACGTGCACTTGTCAGTGCGCCGCTCAGCAGAGAGGGAGAGGGAGAGAGATAGAGAGAGAGAGAGAGAGAGAGAGCTCAATAGGGTTTCTCTCGTCCTCCCCCCCCTCCTCCTTGTGGCCAGGTTCGCCAGCCACTGAGAGAGAGAGAGGGAGAGAGAGCTCAAGGGGGGTTCTCCCGTCCTCCTCCCCCCCTCCTTGTCGTGACCAGGCTCGCCGGCCACCTCCCCTCCGTCTCCTGATCGCCGTCGTTTCCTCAGTCTATCGCTGTCGCCGTCGCGCAGGTCGCAGGGGCGGCTGACGGCGATCAGGAAACGGAGGGGAGGTGGCCAGTGAGCCTGGCCATGAAGAGGAGCAGGAAGAGGATGGGGCATCAGCACTGGCTGTAGTAAGGGGTGCAGGAGGAGGAGGACGATGATACTTGGATAGCGGCGGTGATGGATGGATGCATGGATTTGTTTGTTTTATGTTGTAGTTGTTTTATGTTTCTCAGGTTGCGCATGGTTTGCGCGGTTGGAATCCCCTCTTGAGTCGCTGGGCCCATCCCAGCAGCTGTGGCTTTGGCCAGGCATGGCGCTGCGAGCGAACGAGGCGAGGCGTCGAGAGGTTGAGAGCGGAGGCTGAATAAGATCATTGCGCAGCTCATGCACGGCGGCCCCCCCCAAATCGAATGCATAAAAACATGATATATCCCGCCATCGCACAGGGCGACGGATGCGGCTTCGGCGGCGAGCCTGCCTCTAGAGCTGAGGGATACCAGCCTAAGCATTCTGCCAATACTCAGCCATGCGCTTCCACGACGCGGCCCCGTCGACCTTCCAGCTGAAGGCCTTGTCTGGCCGCGTTCCAATTTTCCTGATGCGCCACTGCTGCCGCTTCATGTCCGTCATGAGGCGAAAGTCCCCCACCGTCACCGCGTCCTTCTCGGCCTTGGGAACCCCTGGGTACTTCAGAGGCCACACCTTCTTGCTGGTCCCCACCTTGGCTTTTGTCATGACCGTGTCCGAAGAGACCGCTGCTGGCTTGGCTTTTTTCATGACAGGGGCCGCTGCAGGGCGCTTGCACACGGAGCCGGCGGCTGGGACAAGCTTCTCTGGCTGCGCGATGTCCTTCTTCAGCTTCTTGGCGAACGAGTCCGCCATCTCATCGATGGACATCTTGACCTTGCCGCCCGAGCCCTTGCCGGCCTTGGGCTCCGGGCTTGGGGTAACAGCATCCTCGAGGCCAGCGGCCACGACCTCGATGCCGTCCTCGTCCGCCAAGGCCAGCGGCGCCCCCGCCGCGGGCCCCGCCGCGGGCGCCACCGCGAGCGCCACCGCGGCTGCGTCTCCGACCGCTGCAGGCGCCGCCACGGTAGCCGGCGTCGTTGGAGGCTGCTGGCGACGGCCGCTGGCGATATCCTGGCCGAGCGGGGTCAAGCGAAAGCCTGGGAGGCAAGGAATCTCTCCGCCGCCACCGCCGGCCATCAGGCCGATAGCGAGCTGGGCGAGTGCGTTCTGCTGCTGCGGGTGGTTGGTGCGGCCGTCGGTGATCGCAAGCATCCTGCCGTGGCTGGCGATTGCGGTGTGGGTCTTGCGGCACGGCAGCTGGTTCCTGAAGGAATCGACAAGCCAAACGCTCGCAAAAAAATGAGGAGGAGGAGGAGGGCGGATGCAGGGAGAAGGATGGAGGGGGGAAGAGAGAGAGAGAGAGAGAGAGAGAGAGAGAGAGAGAGATATAGAGAGAGAGAGAAGGTGGGAGAAGGAGAGCGAGAGGGAGGAAGGGGGGATGGAGCGGGATGGGGGGAGGGTGGAGGGAAGGAGATTGAGGGGCGCGTTCATTGGCCGAACTTTCAGACATCTATTGTTAGCCGATTCCCCAGAGTCGCAGTTTTGCTTGAGACATCCTCTCAAAAATTGCACACTCCCATCGTCTTTCGACGAACAAGCGTTTCGTTCGAGACGATCAGCATTGAGGGCAGGGGGTCAAAGGGTGGAAATCGGTAGGCTCGCCACCTGAAATCGCCATGGCCCTCCTTCCCCCGCTCCCTTCCCCCTCCCCGTCCCTCCTCCCTCCCCCTTCCACCCCCCTTCGCTTTCACTGGCTACTTTGCTAGCTCCCTCCATCCACCTCCTTACATTTTGTGGCTTCGCCTTCCCGCCTGAGCTGGTGAAGCAGCATCTCGTTCACCTGGTTCGGCGCCGGCGGGTCGGACTCGTAGACGCTCTCGAAGATGTGCGGGTAGATCTGGTGCAGCATGTGCGGGTTGTCAGGGAATCTGGCCACCTGCCCGTAGTGCGCCAGCCTGACCCTGGCTCTGACCTGCTGCAGGATGTTCTTGAGGTCGTTCTTCAGGGTCCAAGCGTTCGTCGGATCGACGTTGTTGATGTCCCCGCTGTTGTTGTGCAGCAACAACATCCCGACGGCGTGGATCAACGTGGGTTCAGTAGGGAACACGCAACCGAGGCGTTCAAACCTCCTCGCGATCACGTGTAACTTCTGGTTGGTTGGCATGGCGGCGTCTCCGAGTTGAACCCAATCGCGGTTAGTCATGAAGTGCTGCAGCGTGAAGAACACCTGGGCCTTCGCCCTGCGGCCGCCCGGCGCGGTCGCTCCAACGTGCGTGGCTTTGACGTTCACGGCATCGGTGATCTCGGCCCTCTGCGGCGCAGTGAAAGAGCTGTCGGAGAGCAGGGCGATGCAGTCGGCCGCGTCGTTGAAGTTCAGACTGCGCACTCTCCCCAGGCACTCGAAGAGGGACGCCTTCGCCGACTGCGCCAACGGGGCGACCCTGTCAGGATCATTCCCGCTGGCGTCGATGTTGGCACGCAGGAAGTGCAGCACGGCTCGGAAGTGGTCGTCCATCGTCGACGTTGGTTGCGCCATGTCGCGGAGAAATTGGCGCCTTGATCGGGCCTTAACGCAGGGTTGTGGATCCGAGTCTTGAGCCAAAATGGCACTTGATAGGATGGCGGTTGTTATGCTCGCCCCCGCCTCATCCCGCCTCCCTCCTCCAACTTCCCGCCTCCCTCCTCCACCTTCCCGCCTCCCTCCTCCACCTTCCACCGCTGCCCCCCCCCCCTCATGCTCACCCCGCTCGGGCGGGCCAGGCGTTCTCGGGGCCCGCGCTGGAAGGGAGGGATGAAGGAGGAAGAGGAAGAGGATGATGATAAGGAATCAGAAGAGAGAGAGGACGCAAGAGGGAGGGAGAGGGTGAAGAGGACGAGGAGGAGGGCGACGACGATGAGGAGGCTGAGAAAAGTGAAGGAGGAGGAGGAGAATGAGAGGGAGGGGGGAGCTCTCGGGATCAGAGACCCTGCAAGTCCCGATAAGACGGCACTGAGGGCAGGGGCGACGAAGGCACCAGAGGGGGCTCGTGGGGTGTTTTCCTCGGCGGCAACGTTGTATAAAGCGACTGCGAAGCGAAGGAGGGCGAGCCTCTCCTGCGCTAGATAGCGTTGAAATGCCCTGTGCGGCCCACATCGGCAAAACTTTAAAAGTCTGAGCGCGAGCATGCTTCACGTGTGCGTGTGTGCGTGTGCGTGTATTCGTGCTTCTGCGTGCGTGCGTAAAGCGGTAGGGTGCGCCCCAGGGCCCCATGGCCCATGGGGCTCTTCTGTAGTGAAGCTCGCACGCGCTCACTCGTCAGCATCAGAATTCTCAAAGCTGACTTCCACTTTAACCCGCATGCGCTTGCAAGCCGCAGGTTTCGAATTGAGGATTTGGCTGCTGCTGCTGCTGCTGCTTGCTGGCTCGTGGTGCACTGCCGCCTTTGGCTTGGCCTTCGCCTTTGCCTTGGCTTTCGCCTTCTTAGGCAATGGGGCCATGCACAGGCGCTCGATCCGATCGTAGATTGGCAGCTCAGCACAGCCGGGCCTAGGAGCGTGGGGCCAACTCCCCAAGTCAAAGCTCGATTGCTGCAGCGCGTCGATCATTGGGTGCATCACCGCCATTATAAGCGGCGGCGGGAACGCATTCCCAGCGCCCTTGACCGCAACCGCATGGCTGGGCATGTGAAGCGCGGCGCTAGGAGGCAAGCCCTGGAGCGCAAGTCGCTCCGTCGGGCGCAGGAATCTAAAGAACGAGCGGTCCTTATCAGGAACCTCGCTCAGGATATCTGAAACACTCATGACGAACAGATAAAAATTACGCGTTGTGAGAGTGGGGCAGAAGTTGGGGAAGCAAGGAGGGGTGTAGACGCCGTCGATGGCGCGATCGGTCGAAATCACTACGAGGTCATCTTCGGAGAGTTCGTCATCGAGAAACTTCTGCTTCACGTTTTCCTCCTGGGCCTTCACGTTCTCCTTCTGAGCCTCGGTGAGGCTCTCGCGATCGATCGGGGGGAACTTGCCGAGAACTTCGCGCAACTGACGGGTGCCGAATGGAGGCGGGGGCTTCGGGACAGCAGGGACGATGTTCTTCCGCATGCCTCGTATGAAGACTCTGCTGCGGTTCTGGGGTAAGAAGTAAGCCGCCGCCCCGACACTGCGGGTCAAGGCGCGCGGGGCCGGCCATGGGACGAGGAATGGGGATGGGGTGAGAAAGCGAGGGGAGGGGGGTGCAAGTGGAAGGAGAAGGCTACCGTCCCTCCTGCCGCTCCTTCCCTTCCTTCTCCTGACCCCAGCCCCGCTACTCCTCCTCCTCCTCCTCTTCCTCCGTAAAACTCACTCGGGAACTTTGTAATCGTGGACGCGCGCCGAATTGCGCGCGCGTGTGTGCGCGGGGAGAGGGTGAGAGGAGATGGAGGCTGGCTACAGCAAGGCGACACGCGCAAGCTTACATTTCTACAGCCTCTGCTGGAGGCGGAGCCTCAGACTGAGGCCCCTCGCCATCGTTGAGAACGGGAGGGCGCTTGCGCGCGAGCCATTCGCTGTACCGCGACGGGCTCTCGATATCCTCGGGAGTCTCTCCCGAGCATGCTCCAGCAAACGGATCTGCTGCAGCAAACGCGCTTCTCGGTAGTCTCGGCGACCGGCTCCGGTCTCGCTGGCGGGGATCGTCAGCATTGGCATTATCGCCCGTGCCCCTCGCTGCACAATGGTCTAGCAGCCAAAGCACCATGTCCTTTGTAGCCACCAGCGCCAGGGCGATCAAGGAAGCGAGCTCAGCTTGCATCTCGTTCGCCTGTTCAGGCGGGTCTGCGTGCTCTGAGAGCGCGGCCCCCTGGCTGTCGTCGCTCACTGCGATCACCTCCCATACCTCCTGCGGCGATGGTGACGCTGCAATGGGAAGTTCTGGGGTCTCGCCGTAGCACTGGCGATAGAAGTGGTCGAGCTGAGCTTCGTGTTCTGCGAGCTGAGCTTCGCGTTCTGCGAGCTCGAGCTGGCCCGCCTCGGCGGCCAGGGAATCGTCCATGGCGATCGCTGCGTCGATTTCCTGCTCCGTCGGGAAGCGATCCGAAAATGCGGATGTCATCGAAACGTTTCAGTGGAAGCCTTGGCTGGCTTTGCGTTGGCGTGGCGTTGCCCGAGGCCCGTCACTTCAGCCAAAACGGCTATCGGAGCGGAATTAACAGGCGGAAGGAAGAAAAGAGAGGGCTGACTGGGGGGTGGAAGCGGGGGGGGACCAGGAGGATGAGGAGGAGGATATACAGAACGGGGCGGTGGTCGAGGAGAGAGGAGGCAGGGGGAAGGAGGAGAGGACAGGGAGTTGGGACGAGCATATTCCCCCTCGGGATCAGGGTCATCGTGGAAGCGAAGCATTTGCATCGAGCGCCAATAATTTATCGGACCTCCATGAGAACTCTGGGGCCATCTTCCGCAAGATGAAGAGGAACCTGGGAGGCCCACAAGTGCCTCAGTTTCCTACCTGAGCCACTGCAGCTACCTAAGCTGGCGTGCTTTTTAGTTGGTGTTTTAGCTTGCCTCCTTAGCTTGCCTACAAGGTGCTACATACCTAAAGCCAGCGTCTCCTTAGCTTGCCTACAAGGTGCTACCTACCTAAAGCCTATTGTTGTAGGGTCCCGATGCCCGAAACCTGTCTTTTGGAGACACGCGGCCGTCGCGCTCGTACTCGAATCCTGTCACGTTCTCCAGAACGCACCCGATGAGACCACCAGCGTGGATTAGGTACAAGAGCCAGCGCAAGATCCTGGTGAAGACGCGGCTGCGGGCGTCCTTGAACCCCCTCTTGATGCCTTGCCCAGACCAAGGGGGGCACGGGGGCCCCGTGACTAGAAAGTCGCACGGGATCTCCAAGCTTGTCAGGGGCACGTTGAGGACGTTCCCATCCTCGGGTAAGCCGCGCCAGTCTGCCTCCTACTCCGAGACCCCCGAGCGCTTCCAAGGGGCCCTTGTTTGCGCCCTGCAAATGGTTTCCCTGGGGAGGGTGGGGGCCCATCTCAGACGACTCCGCGCCCGTCGTGGCAGGCCCCCCAAACAGTGTGCAAGACCCGTTCTTCCTCCTTATCCTCTTCTTCCCGATCTCCCCGTCCGTCGCCATCCCTTCCCGTCCTCCTCCTCCTCCTCCTCCCGTTCTTTCTCCGCCTCCTCCTCCTCCTCGCCGTCCTAGCCCTTTAAGCTGAACCAGACCTTGGCCCCAAGTTGAGTTCCCGCCCGTCCTTGGGCCCCAAGTTGAGTTTCACCACCTCGTGGCCGGCCTTCTGCATGAGCGACGTTAACCAACTGGAGTACCCAGCCTCCAGGTCGTAAACGTTGCCGTGGCGCGCATCAACCCCCATGGCGTCCAACGCCACGGCGCGCGAGTGGAGCCCCACGCACGGGCTCGCGATCCGAAGGGGCCTGGCCAGAGCAGGGATCTTCTTGAAGAAAACTTCGAAGGCTGGGAGCTTGGGGGTCTTGGCGACGTCGGCAGCTGATTGCACCTGCCATTCATGCGGCATGCCCAAACACGCGACCAGCAACTCCAACGAAAACGCCAATGCCTTCATCATGGGGGCCGTCGGACTCAGGGGCCCACTGGAAAGGCAAGCAGGTTCGCAACCACAAGGGCTGCAGCCAGGAAGAGGAGAGAGGAGGCGGGGGGAGGAAGGCGAGGGCATCTTGGTGGAGGAGGCCGGGGGGGGGGAGGGCAAGACGGGGGGGGGTTGGGGGAAGGGCGGGGACGTGGAGGAGGCCAAGGGGGGGCCCATGGTGAGGGCTGAGGGACCTCGATTCGCCCGCGAGCCAGATACGGCCCAGATACGGCCCATATACGGCCCAGATACGGTCCAGATACGGTCCAGATACGCCCCCCCCCCCAGATACGGCCCAGATACGGCCCAGATACGGTCCAGATACGGTCCAGATACGCCCCCCTCCCCCAGATACGGCCCAGATACGGTCCAGATACGGCCCAGATACGGTCCAGATACGGCCCAGATACGGTCCAGATGCGGAGCCCAAAGAGGAGCAGACACGGGCCTGGATTTGGCCCTGAGGGGTTCCAGACGAGGTCCGAAGGTCATTGAGCAGGGTGCCACGCGAGGTCCGAGGTCCAGACGGGGTCCAGAAAAAGGACTGCGTGGGCATGTCCAGACGAGGTCCAGAAAAAGCAAGCCGAGGTCCAGACGATGTCCGAGGTCCAGTGCATGGTAGCCACCGTCGAAGGGGGGAGGGGATGAAAGGGCGGCGAGCCTGCCCGAGGAGGGGCCCCGATGGGAGGCTGCATGCATGACAACCTCGAGGGACCGCCAGAGGAGGAGGAGGAGGAGGAGGAGGAGGAGGAGGAGGAGGAGCCGGCAACAGGAGGAGGAGGAGGAGGGGGAGGATTGTGTACCACGTGCGTTTGAACTCACAATGAGCTCGAATCCCAATCTTCGTTCTGGCTACGAGGCTGCCCATCGACATACATGAAACACAATCGTGATTGTTCGCCGAGCACGCTCTGCCTGGCAAGCCTCGCAAGTCTAGCACCTTGAAACCCAACGTGCCTGGCAATCCTGCCTAGCACGCTCTGCCTGGCAAGCCTCGCAAGCCTAGCACGCTCTGCGGACGTCTACGCCTCCACCTCGTCATCCTTCGACAGCTCGATGGTTTTGGCCACGTGCATGCACATGTAGTCCACCTGCTCCAGTGCCTTCTCGCCCGCATTCAGGAGGTCGGCAAAGTCGTCGTGCTTGGTCTTCTCAGCGTTGATCATCTTGTCGATCTTGCCGTCGGCGCAGCTCCACTCTGTGCACATCGCGCGCTGCTCGTGCATCTTCTTCACCTGCTTCGCGGGCACAACATCCTGGTTCTCGGGGGCGCTGGCTGCGGCGATCTGGGTTGCGAGGTCCATGGAGGCTTTCCCGAACTTCGTCTTCAGCGCCTGCAGCTTCTTCTTCTGGCCCTTGGTCAATGCCTTCGGAGGCGATGGCTCCTCACCCTCCTCCTTCTTCTCCAGCTTCATCTTCTTGAGCTTGAGCTTGCCCTCACCAGTGGCCTCGCGCTTCCGCATCTGCTCCCACTCATTCACGTCCTCCGTCTCGGCCTCGTACTTGGGGATCTGGATCAGCTCGTCCAGGGTGACCGGGCACGTGAACTGCTTCGCCGTCTTCAGGATGTTGGCCCACTTCTCAGGCTGCCCCTCGTAGCGCTTCGCCGCGTCCGACTTCGACTCCATGGGGCCAAATGTCCTGAACTTGGTGGTGACGCGCTTGATCTGGGAGCGGCTGATGCTTTCCGTGATGCATTTTTGCAAGTCCTCGCCGAAGTAATCCTGCGCCTCCCTGAAGAACGAGATCCGCTCCTCTGGGCTCAAAACGTCGAAGGAGTCGATGTTGTGGCTGGTGCACATCCTTTGCACGCGGCTCTGGAGGCGATTGCACGCCTTGCAGCGATACTGATTTCCCTGCACATGGGTGGCGTAGGAGTCGGTGAAGATGAAGCGGCAGTTGTTGCAGAGGCGGTGGCCCTCTGGGATCTGCGCGTCCGTGTCGTAGGCACCCACGGCGCCGGGCGGCATCACGAAGGCGCTCGGCTGACCAGCGCTCGTGCCGTCCTGCAGGGAAAGCAAAAAACATGCACAGCCCGCCTCTCTGCCGCGGCAGAGAGGCGGGCGACGGAGGAGGAGGGGGATGGGGGAGCGGGTTGGAAGTGAAGGGGGGAAATGCGAGGGGAGTGAGGAGTTAACATTTTCTGAAGTGTGCTGGGGGCATCAAGTAGGGCACCTCATGAATGCGCTGGCTCGCCGCGCACTTCGAGCCTTGCGCCCAGGGCCCCCAAGCTCTTTCCCCCCTCGTTTGCCGGCCTCCCAACTGCAGTTCCCAACCATCCTGTGTTCGGTCCTCGTTTTGACAGAGATGATACCCGAGAATAACCCAATCAGATTTGTTTGGGGGCTATGGTGTTATAGGGCTATGGGGCTATAGGGCTATAGGGCTATATGGTTATAGGGATATAGGCTATTGGGCTGAAGGGCTGAAGGGCTTTAGGGCTGAGCTATAGGGCTAGAGGGCTGCAGGGCTACAGGGCTATAGGGCTGTAGGGCTTTAGGGCTATGGGGCTATAGTGCTACATGGCTATGTGGCTATATGGCTATTGGGCTATAGGGATAGAGCTGTCGGGCTATAGGGCTACAGGTCTATAGGACTATCAGGCTATGGGGCTATTGGGCTATAGGGCTATGGGGCTGTAGGGCTATAGGGCCATTGGGCTAGAAGGCTAGGGCTATAGGGTTGTAGGGCTATAAGGCTGTAGGGCTGTCGGGCTACAGGGCTATAGGGCTATAGGACTACCGGGCTATAGGGCTAGAGGACTATAGGGCTATAGGGCTTTAGGGCAATGGTGGTCTAGGGTTATAGGACTATAGGGCGATGTACAACGGTGTACTATATACATACATTTGTGTGTGCGCGCGTGTGCCGCCACCCAGGTCGGCACACCCCTCACACGATTCGTGGCCCGTGAGAGCTCCACCGAAGTTCCCGACGGCAGAATTTGCATGCGCCCTCCCGCCCACCGCATGCCCATCCCCTCACACGGTTCGTGGCCCCGTAGGGAGCTCCATCGAAAGCGGTACCCACAATGCGGTACTCGCAGCTGCATATGGTTGGGTCCTTCGTCAGGCTAATCCCCACCTTGTTTTGGGGCTGCCGCGGGTCCTTGGACGCCTTGGCAGCAGAGGCAGCCGGCGCGCGTGGGGCATCCGGCTTGCTGGCCGCCGCAGCAGCAATAGAGGCACCCTTCTTAATCGACATCGCAGGGCAGGTCGAAAACGGACCGATCGGCGGCGAGCCTGCCTCTCTCAGCCCAGAAAGCTACGTTAGGGGAAGGGCGGAAAGGGCGGCGAGCCCTCCCTTGCAAGGGAGGGCTCGCCGCCCTTTCCGCCCTTGGACGTCGGCGGGTATACACATCAAATTCAGACGAGCCTTGGGGAAAGATCCAGATTCTGAGAGAAGATGTTCGGCTTATCCTGGGCCCTGCGAGGGCTCGAAA